TTGGTCGCTGTCGAAGTCAGAACACTAGTCATGAGCTGCAACTCATCCGCCCTGTGTGCAAACAACGCACAGTCGTCAGCAAATAGCAACCTACGGATAGTTGTCTCACAAACTAGGGTTCTCGCACCGAAACGACGGATGTTCAGCAACCCACCATCAATGCGGTGCTCCACACGAACACCGTAAGCACAAGCCGCATCAAAAGCACAAGACAGCACTGCAAGAAGATATACATAAAACAGGGCAGAAGGTAAGACATAACCTTGCTTCACACCAGAGATAACCGCAAGGTCATCCGAGGTCTCTCCACTCAGCTGCACCCTCGCTCGCATACCACTGTGCAGACATTCGATTAAACTTACAAAATTATGCGGGCAACCAAACTTACCCAACACCAGCCACAATGTCTCGCGCTTCACGGTATCCATTGCCTTGGTGAAATCAACCAACAGCAAGTACAACGGCTGGTGCCGTTCTCTACGCTTTTGCAATTGACGAGCCGCAAACACCATGTCTATGGTGCTACGACCCGAACGGAATCAACACTGCCCTTCCGCCACGTTAGGTTCTACGACCTGACTGACGAGGCGGTTGAGCAGGAATCGGGCAATCACCTTGCCCACACAGCCCAGAAAGTTGATGCCACAATAATTCGTGGCACATTGCTTGCCACGTTTGCCCTTGTACAGCGGTATCACAAGGGCATCCTTCAGCTCACGGGCACCTCCTCCTCAAACCATACGCTTTGCACCAAGGGGTGCAGCGCATTTACTAACGCTCGTCTGCCGTGTTGCAATACCTCAGGCGGGATCTCATCGGCACCGGCACACTTGCCGTTTCGCAGCTGAGCCAATGCTGTCCGCGTCTCATCCAGTGTCGGCATATCTGCTAAACTCGCCTTCACATCGTGCTGTTTCAGGTCGTGCAACATAGGTCAGTCAATCTCTGAACGACTGTTCAAGAGGCAGACAAAATGATTTTGCCGGATGTGCATTATGTCTGTAGTCTGTGTGCATGCAACGCCTGAACTTCCATCGCTTAGCGTTCTCAGCGGCTGCAACGCCGTTCAGTACACTGCCTTCAATAAGTCAACTAAATGCTTGTGTTGGCAGTGTCCAGCGTAGCGTTCCATCTGCTTCGTCTTCTCTGTCCAACATGCACTTTTGTGCGATGGAGCTCTGGAGTCAGTCAGTGTCGGATTTTGCGAAACTGACTCTTCTTTCCAAAGTCACAAGGGTCTGCTACATGTGCAGTAAATGCTGCATTATTCTCCAAAACCAATACGTCAATCGTCGCACTGTTCTCAGCAAACCACTCAGGCCGCTTACAGTTTGCGAGCCCGATCGTCTTTTCGACAGCAGCTGTCACCTGGTCCCGAATGTACTGCCACAGGTCGCCCACTGTGCCTATGCATTCCACATCACACGGGCGTATGGCCATCGCCTTTTCCAGCTCATTACGTTTATCCACAGTATCGAGAGAATGTTAAAGTTACGCCCCCGCTTCATGGCAGGAGTGCAATACATGGATCTATGAAAATATATGTCCAGTTTGGTTCGCAGCAATTTGTGCTCGGTGCCACACTCAGCTCCACGCAGTACATGTGTCATGCGCACTTCACGCATATCCCGCTGACGTACGATGACATAGTCGAGCAGGTGAGCGTGACCACTCCGTGGGTGCCTCCAAGTTGCTATATCACGCCCACTCAGTGCAAACCGAGTGTTCGTGATGGTCAGGCCCTGAATGGCACAAAGTGAGAGCAGCCAGTCACCGTTCGCATCCGTTGAAGCAATGTCATGTGGACCGATAACATCTGTCCACGCTGATGCATCACGCCCAACGCACGCGTTGAAATCACCCAGCAGAAATAGTCGGTCGCTCCTCGGCACAGACCGTATCACGGAGGATAGCTCAGTGTAGAATTGATCACGCATGTCATCAGGATAACACATGATCGGACCTTACGTGCATATAAAGGTGGCAAACCTAACTCTTCCGAGTCGTAGGGGAGCAGTCATCATTCACACGCTGATGCCAGTTAGTTCCCCCACCAGCTGGGCATTTAGGTGAGTGAATATCGCAAATCCGACTCTATGTTCAAGTGGTGCTGAGGTGGGGTTACTCACTCAGTAGAATGTGTAGCCAGCACTTGCTTCATGCAACGTATCTTGCTCAGCGGACGAGTTTTACTGAGCGCCGCAATATCGATGTGGTAGCGCGTCAGTTACATCGAGACCAGTGCGGTGTGTTGCTTTGTCCAGTAGTGTGTGCACGTTCCAGCACCCGATGCTGAGTGCTTTGCACGTAAGCATACGATTGCATTGGTGGTCAATCGCACGCGTGGTGTTAGTTGTGCTTCGGAGGGTTGCTTGAGGGACTTCGCCCGAAGCCTTTGGCTCAATAACCTTACCCACAAGGCAGTGGGTGTTCTGGAGGTTCGCTTGAGGGACACTTCCCGAAGCCTTTGACCCAACAGCCTGACCCACAAGGTAGTGGGGTGCAGATCCAGCTCGGAAATGTGATTACAGAAACAGATTAGGATACACTTGAGGTCCATCCCACTAGCCTTTGGAGTTCTGGAACAATTCATTTGTGTTTTGCGACCGTAGTAAGATACGCTCGTGCGACGACGGCCAGACGCAGGTAGGTTTGGCGGGTTCGCACCAACTTGACGAGGGGCTGACTTGAGGCGCGTAGTGGAAAACGATTGAGCACCCGGAGTTTCCCTCACACCGTCAGAGAAAACGCGTGGCGCTCGTGCTCTACGCCAATCGTGCAATGAGCTTATAACCCGTAGACCTGTTGTCTCCATTGGTTAGTTTTTACGGGAAAAGGACCATGGACTACTTTCTAACCTCCGAAGAGGATGGATTTGGATACTGGCAGGGCGCCCACATCTGACAGGAGAAGGACTCGGGTCCGCAGCCAAAGCCTTCGATTAAATGTACATCTGAAAGACCGCGGGTCTAGCACATGGTCAGTCCACTGACTCATGCGGATTGGTGTCCTGGATCTTAGCAGGGAGAGCCCATGGTGCGCTGTGGCATGTAGTGACTAGATCCTGACAGACGGTCTACCCACTGCTGCTACTGTTGTGCCATGGACTCATGTTCTGGGCGCATCCTCGTGGCCACCACTTGGGTGAGGGTTGGGTTACTCCCTCATGCTGAGGTTGAGGTTGCATGCATGACGTCTTACCGCACTTGGGCTAAACCAACACACAAAACCAAATCTTTTTAATCAGGATAGAAGTCATTTCACTTTATTTAGTTTGTTCTATTTTGTTATTCTGCTGCATATTCCGTGACAATTTTGCGTCGTTGTTTTCCCTCAAATTCTCTATTACTTGTCTGATATCCCAGGTGTGGCTGGATTGTTGTGAATGTTGCCAAGATGCCTACCTCTCTATTTCCCACAACCTCGTCTATACTAGCTCCAGGCGACTGTAAATTGTTGCTGGGGAGTACGGGGCGCACGGTTCTTGTGGCCGTGCTAGGCCACATGCATCAAGTGTGAAGCGGAATACGGCCAGGCCACCGCCTTGTGTACGTCTAGTACGCATGATTCCCTGCATAGATAGACAGGAATGCTGCTACTGTGCAGGTTGAAAGAGTGTGGGCCGACTCCGTTGATGAAACGTGGCTCCCATCCACATGCCTCCCAGTGTTATTCCTTCGGGTTTGCACCGGATATGAAGTGTGTGGATGGAACTGTGGGTGGTGCAGCGCAAGCCACCCATGGTCCCTCTGTAGGCGCAGGCGTCCTGTGGCTGTCCTATGGAGTGCACAGTGACAGGGAAATCTGGAACCGGATCCGCCAACCATATATTTGGCATCTTCTTGACTTGGTTGACCATGTATCAGCGATGCGAACCGTGTTGCCATATTGTGTTGCCATTTTACGTAACACTTTGAAGTCCATTGAATGGGGATTAAATGGTTAAAAAGCAGTAAGCCTAAAAATCCATCCATCAAGTTGCTTGATCACCGCTGAGTTCTCAAATTAACTAAACCCCGAGAAGCGCAAAACGACCTATCTCTCTAGTGTATAACCATTGCTGATGCATGGTTTCATTATCTTGATAAAGAGTCGAAAACGGTAACCTTACTCGTGCGAGTGAAAGTTGTTGGTTTCTGAGTGAAAGCAGTTGAGCTGCAGCATACTAAACTGATTTGGCCATGTATCCACTCTCGTTCAGTCATAACCGGTGGCCTCGCCCTAGTAACCATTGTGCTGGGGGGACAATTTTACTTCAACCCGACAGTGAGGTATGTGAGGTTACAGAGAGTGTTTGAGGTGCTGCATTGGCATTGCACACTACTTCTCATCAGGTGTCAGCATCCAAGATAGCCCGGGAAGTTTAACCTCGTTACGCAGGAGCAGTGTGTGCTAAGTTAAAGTGCCTGACAAGCCCGTCGGGAAGGAGTCAGGGAATACCAGGAAGAAAGCATAGGCTTAGAATTTGAAATTGTCTAAGTTTGTCTGTGGTAAATTTGACTTGAATGCGGTATGGTTGACCAACCACCACACGCAAAAGAAAAGTGAAGTCAAAACTTAAGTTTCCGGCTGAAATCGTGTGCAAAATGTTTCGTAAAACCGGCAGCTTGGATTTACGAGTTCTTGTTCATTTGTTCACCGAGGTTGGCAGCCTACTTGCAAACATTTCGAGTCAAGTCAAGTCAAAAATTGCTTTATACATCTTTGGTAGATGAATATGCAGTCACCAAGCAAGATGACATCATCAATGCGAAGCTATCTAGAACTTGGTCGCGAGAAATCGCACCAGAAAATCTGGTTCATGTATGCACATGGACCTCATTTGGTGAAGAGACCTTTGTATCCTAACTGGAGCCGTGTGAATTTAACGAGACTATTTCATGCGAACATCACTTTGTCTAGCATTGTGCAATTCGAACAAAGTGGATAGGAGTATATACCCGGTTAATCAACGGGTAAGGGTTTCAGAACAAACACACCAACATAATGATAGTAGTTACCCGTGTGAAGAGGCTCGTTCAGTGAGTTTTTTCGACAAAGACATCTTGCATGTGATCCGTCGGCCGATGAGATGCATTGTCCTCCATTGAAACAACTAATACTAGACATTTTCCTGTACGGAAGAAGCGATATTGTATCGTTTCTCTGGTCTGCTGCATCACAAATGTGCCGGTACGCAAGGCAGTTGGGCCTCGGGACAGTAAGCAGTGGAGCATAATTGCCTTTGCAAACGCAAGCATATGCGTCAGTGCCCAGCATAGGATGACACTCATTTCCATTGTGTACTTGGCAATAGTGATAGCCGTTGGGAATGGCCTACAATGCAACTAAGTGGCAGTCAAAAGATGCACAACCATCTAGTTTGTATTAGAACATGTAACACAAAAACAACATGTATGATAAAGTTTACTCATCCAGTAAACTAATGGTTATCTAGTAAGTAATCGCTGAATTAATCACACCCAAACTCCGTCAGACAGCCGTCACACGTTCGGAAAAGCATGAAATGCCCACTGCATCCATTCACAGGAGGTGTAAGCAATGCGCTTACTACCCATCCTCAGTAAAACTTGAATCAGGTGCATAACATTCACGAATTCGTGGAGAGCAGACGATAATCACCAGCGTGACTAAGCTCCTCAATGTGAGACAGCGCTTTTAAAACTTACTATAGACCTATTGTCTTAACTTTATATTCATGAACACCAAAGTCTCGGGCATCGCTGTCAGTTCCATACTTTTCCAACCGCTTATCTAGATTAAACAGTTCAGCCATGTGATGGCTAACATGTTAAGTCGTGGGAGTGGATGAACTAGTGTAAACGTTTCGCATCACGGAGTTGTCAGTAGGATTGGATGGTGGGATGGTTTGCTGGACCATTAGTCGACTATCAACTTGATCACAATCAGTGACGCTCCATGCAGTGCCTGTGAATACCTTGAATATTAAGACAGGAGATGCGGTCATGTCGTTTCCCAGAAGATAATACGGGTTGTAACCCTGTGTCTCGTTTCCCGTGTTAGTATATTGGCAAAGGTGTTACCAAACGTGAGTTTGATTTTCCGTTTACCACACTTTCAATTAAGGGCGAGTAAGGGTAAGGGCGTTGATATTCGGAACTTGGTTTGGGCTGCTGATCATGGTTCGTTCGCTTGAGGAATAAGGAAAACGAACATGAGGGGTTGTGACCTCGACCAACTGTAAGATGTTTGAGGGGACTACAAAGGCATATTCGTACAATTATTATCAACGCTATTTATTATACATACACTCCTCTACTTGGACCGGTGAATTATTAGTAAAACAAATTCAGAATGAAATAGCATATCACTGGTCGTCACTGACTGGAAATCCAGGTCGGCAAGGTGCCTCAGAGAGTCATCCAGTAAGTTTTGGATAAATGGACAAATTTGACTTTCAAAAATGCATTCAACCGTCTCGGGATCCAACGTAGTTAGAGTTATCTCCGATTCTGCTTCTAGTGGAAACTTTCAGATTTAGACTCAGTTGGACCCTTGCATTTCCGCTAAGAGGTCATTGTAACGCCTGTCCGTCCGCATACAATTATATCGCTCACGATGAGAATCAAAACAGTAAACCTCATTCCGCTTGGTTATTAAGTCATCACTTTATGCGTTGTCGCCCGACAGTACTACGCTACAGACTAAGCTTTATAAGTCTAGATTGTAACAGATGAACACAAATTGCAATGTAGTAACAGTATATTGTAAAATATATTTGGCTAGACCCAGCAATGGAAATAGCACTTAGGAAACCATCGTTCTATTGTTTCAGCTTTTGCGGAACTCAACATTGCTAATTTTCACTTACGCATGTTGCAATCTGAACTTGTGAGCATTTTTCAGTGTACTTATAGCCGAACTAGTCGTATATTAGTTTACTGTAGCGCTGCAGTTGAGGTAGACAGACAATGAAGCACAGAGATAAGATCAGTTACTTATATATTTCTTACAAAGATTTAGTACGGCAGTTACTAACAAAGCAGCAAACCGGCATGATAGGAGTAACTGGATGGTCAGTTTTAGACTATGTATTGGATTGCGATGCTTAACCTCAATGTGGACCGCGATTCTTGGTCACAGCGATCACTGGGACTGCAGCCGAGGCAAATGGAAATGGGGTGTTGATCGCCCGGAAAGATCGTGAAACCCCGACGCGTTTCGATGTCGTTTCATCTCATCAGGTGGAGATAGCAGACCTCGAACCTGCAACAGTTGGAATGGTAGCCGTAACCTCTACCCTTTTGGCTACTGGGTCACGATAGACAACACTTGGCACAACTGTGAATGACTAATTGGAGGGTCAATTTTGATTCACTTCAATTTGAGTGGCGATGTTTGAACATACATTTTCGGCAAATTCGTGTATGGTCCAAGGCCAGGACAAATGTCCTGGCATAGTATTGAAACACTATTCATATAAAAAGCAAAAATGATCGGAATCACCCGCGAACGTGTGAGTGCACAGTGTTAGTGTGATATGTTTTGTGACATTGTACCCCGTATGTACGTGTCGTAAACTTGAAGGGCTCGTCTCATGGTAGACACACACACAAGTCGGATATGTCAAGTTTGGTGAGCTCCATTGCCGAAACGTGCTTGGCGGAGGCTGGGAATATATGACACCGGTTGTTGTTGATTACCGGATGATGCATGGTATTTAATGGTGTTGGAAATTCCGAGAGTTCAATGCGGGCTATGACTTCCGCATAAGCACCTACACCGTATTTGTCAATTTTTAGTTGGTAGTTACGGGACATTGTGTAGGTGTCGCATATTGCCACGTCCAATACGTGTGCCTTGGAGTTCATGATGGCTTAATGTACTTTCTTGCAACTAGGATACGGGGCTCCGGGATGATTTTGGCTTCTTTGCGACGAAACGTGTTGGTTAGTTGCTTTACGATATTGTTGTGCCTCTTACAGCGAGCATCGTGGGTTACTGCGCAGGACCGCAAGACATGGGAAAGTGTTTCGTTTTGTCCACAGGCGCCCAGGTACTGAAGATCGGTTGCTCTTGGGTGGTCGTCTTCTAGAGCATCGAGATTTTGTCGATAGTACCCCTGCTCGAAGTTGGACTCCTCTGATGTAGAGTCTTGGAAAAATTCGCTCTGGGTTTTTTATCCAGTTCTGAGACGCTGGTGTCCTAAATGCCCCCCCCCCACCGCTGTAGCCGTCTACAGTTTATAGCAATGAATTCTTCCACACTTTTTTCGCGCCACTTTTGTCAAGGACTACTTGCTTCCCAATGAGTACGGGTTTCATGGCGAGGCACTGCATGGTAGCCACCGAAAGTTTCCGTATCGCCGCGCTGGTAATTAGGTGGGAGAGAAAGATGGCGTTCCAGGCAGTCCTTCCGAAGCAATGGGATCATGCTAGAAACGCACGGAACCCCTAGGCCATAATCCTCAATGGTTGCGTGAAAGAAAGCGACACTGGTGTCTTTGGGCAGTCGTAACCACTTTTATATACTCGCCCGGACCAGCTTATCCATAGCTTTGAGTGTCTGCCGATGCACCTCTGCCAGTGAGAGGCAATGTGTATGACGCGGTAAAAAACGTGCGCAAGATGTTCATGCGCTGGTAGAGTTTGAGGGAGGCTTGAGATGTTTCCCGTAGCTGTGCTTTGGGTTGGTCTAAAGAGTTTGACGAGCGCTTACGCTTCCAATCAAATGATGATCCAAGTTGCCGGAATTCCCTGGATGGCTGGATCAAGGGGATCTGGAGGGCGCCACAGGGGAGTTGCGCAGTGTTCAAAATAGGTAGATATATTTTCTTTTACTGTCGAGGGTGATATCCAGTACCATCGATTTCAGGTGGTTTATTGATTATCCAAGATGTTTTATATCCTGCGTAAATCGCCCTAGACGTTCGATCAGGGATTCTCGGTCACGAGCAAATAGTACGATAGCATCTGCGTAAGCGACATGATCGATTGACCTGCTGGGGAAATCCACTGTGTCAGACTGCGTGTGTAATGCTTTCTGAAGTGCTGTGATGAAGAGCAAGGGATAAACTGGATCTCCCTAATGGACTCCACGCCCTGGGTGGATCCTCAGACCGTTGATGACTGAAACTCCAGAGGAGTAATTAGATAATGTAATGCAGGTAATGTAGAAAACAAGTGGGATTACTGAAAGATGTGACTGCTCGAAGCAGGGAAGCCTGGGAGATGGAATCAATGGCTTTTGAAATATCAAGAGAAGCAATGTGAATATCTTACTGCAGCGTGTAATATCATGGGGCTTCAAAGTGGCCTTATTTATGAAGAAAAGCAGATTGAAGACGGTCAGATGGGAACGCAGGAATCCAGTGAACAAATAAAATTCGATGAAGAAGACGAGTGAAGACTGAAGTTACGGAAATTGGGCGAATGTCTTCAGGGGGTAGTGTTGGGGATTTTTGCCACAAACCTTACCCGGGCCACGTTTATGTGAGTAGGATAAGGGGAACAAATCAAGACACAACTTAAGAGAGACGCAATGAATCTAGGATCCATTCAATTGATGTCCTTTGATGTGCTATGGTCTACTCTGGGTGCAGATCCATCCATCTCTCGCAGTGCAAAACTCGTTTCCTCAATGGTTATGGATTTTACGAGATCCCAGTTAATATTGTACAACCGCATGGTGCCTGGTTATCAGATACTGGGGGTTGCGAGAGCGCATGCTTCCAGAAGTCATTGAAGTCCGGGATCACCTGCCCATTTAGCATGAATACCTTCTTCCAACGACCATCGAGTACTGTAGCGGCAGCGTTTTTCTTCACCACTAGTAGAGACGTGTATGTAGCCGTATTGAAGTCGCCGTCACTGACGATTGTTTGAGACTGTAAATGCTCGTTGTCTGCGCTTACTGGGTCGCCATGTGTGTGGGAATAGGATTGAGTACACTGTTTCCATATCGTTTCTAAATTCTGTCCTAGAGTGCCCCGTTTACTACTCTTAAACGACTGTTTGCAATGTAGCTGCACGGGGTTCAGTGTGTGATTTGCATTGGGACAGTTTTTCTCTGGCTTCTACCATAAGACGTTGAAAAGCAGCCTGGTCGCCTGTGGTTTCTGTAACTAAGTTCCGGGTGTCTGTAACGAGCTTCACGTGGTTGTCAGAACAAGATTCATCCAAAGCGACCCCTGGAGGGATTTCGTATGGGGAGGCGGAGGATAATGTCAAACTGGGCGATAGAGTGGCGGGCTGTCGGCAGTCCACGTCAAGATAACCTATGTTGTGTGTGCTGACATG